ATATAATATAGAGGTAACCAGAGGTAATAAGATATAAGTAATAATTATATAACCTCGTATTATATTAGTAACTCGACTAGTAGCTAGTTCCTATTAGGCTTAACAGATTTAGGGACCGCATATTAATATTATAATACTATAATTTTTACTTCTGAATAATAACTTTACTAACTTACGCAAATAGTATTCCATAATTATATAATAGTACTATATATTCCTGGTAAACTAATAATTATTTTAAAAAAGTAAAATAATTTTAATTTTAATATTTGTCTTAAAATTAAACTTTTTAATAAATGTAATATCTTGTTTAAAATTATTAATAATTACTAGAGCCTTAGTCTTTTTAAATAGCTTTAGTAATAGCTTTCTTAATTATTTAAATAAAATAATAACTTTTTTTAATTAGCTTTAATAGTTTTATATATAATATTAAGGGAAATAATTATAAATATTATAAGTAATAAAAGTACTTTTTAATATAATATATATTTTAAAGCTATTTTCCTTATTTATTAAAATCTTAATCTTTTTACTAATATTATATATTATTATTATATAAAATTTATTAATAATTACTTTATATTAAATATTATAAATAGTATAAAGTCGAAATATATATTCTTTACTATAGAATTTATAAGACTAAATTTATAATAATATTTCTTTATTTTAACTTATTTAAAATAAACTTTTTTTTCTTTTATATATTTAAAGCTTTAAATCTTTTAAATTATTATTATAACTTTAATTAAAGAAAATTAATAATATTTTATTTTAAAGAATTATTATATTACTTTAATATAAATTATTTTATTATTTTTAGTAATATCTTTATTAAAAATTAATAATATTTTATTTTAAGGAATTATTATATTACTTTAATATAAATTATTTTATTATTTTTAGTAATATTTTTATTAAAAATTAATTAGATAATATAATATAAAATAATAACTTTATTTTTATTATATTAAATAAACTTCTTTTTAAGCTTCTCGAAATTCTTCTCAAGCTTTAACTTTACTATTTCCTTTATTACTTTATTAATCTTATTTCTATTTTCTTTTATATTAAATATTATAATATTTACTCGAGTTCTTTTATAAAGCTTTATAATAAAAATCGTGTTTTTCTTTATATTAATTATATAATACCTTTATATTATATAAATAAAATATTTAATATATAGTTTCTTTAAATATTTAAGTAACTTAAAGGTTTACAATTTATTAAAATATATTCCTTAATTTAATATAATCTAATAAGGAAATAATATAATAAGAAGAAAAATAAGAGAAAAAACTTAATTATATTAATTAAGAAAAGAAAAAGAAAAAGAGAAATCCCAGACTCTTATAAAGCTATAATCTCGCTAGTTTATATAATACTATATAACTTGTCATTTTAATATTTAGCTTAATTTAATTTCTTTATTACTATTATAATACTTATCTTATTATAATAATAAAAAATTACTTATAATTATTAAAGCTTTTAAATATTAATATTATTATTACTTTAAAAGTTTTAAGTTTATAATTAAAGTTATTATTAATTATAATAACCTCTAATACTTTATAAAAATAATATATTTTTAATAATTACTAAATATATTATATAATTTTAATTAGTAATATTATTATAATTTTTATATCAAGAAGTGCTTTTATATATAAAAAAGAAAGAAATATTAATACTTCAGGTTTTATTTGCTTAATATTAAAGCTTTTAATATACTTGTATAGTACTTATAAGCTATTACAAGGTTTCGGCTCAGTGCCAAACCTTAGAATTGAGGCCAATATATAAGACCGTGAGCTCACTGCTCATTGAAACGCGATTAAGAGAACGCCGATTGAATTGCATTATACGACTATAGAGATAATCAAATGGGCCTTTCAAATGGTGGTGTATGGGAAGATTGTATGGGCCTGAGCTCAGGTGGAGAGGACGGGCCCTAATTCCAGTAACTGTCTTATTCAACGAGGTCTCGTGTGTGGTTTGTAGCAACTGAGCTTGAAGCTCATTTCTCCAACTGTTCAATGCCCTATCGTCGGTGACTGAATCGAGACCTGCCAGGGACACAAGGGTGCTAGGGGTTGGTCGGGGGATGAGAGAGATTGATGGAGTGGTGCCATCTCCCATTGCTCGGAGGAGTTATCCGTCGACAGCGTGACAGTTCTGACAGGATGATAGCCTTGACAAGCCAAATTGCCGGAAGGTCACTGTCGGGGTAGGTCCTCAACTTTGCAACCCAACCCAACCCAACCGTTTGCAGTAGAGATGATGCGGCGTCGACTTGGAGACGGCAGCCTATGAGAATATTCGCCATGAGCGACGAATGCGAAACCTTACGCTGCAGTTGTACTTTGTCGTGCAACCATCACGCCTTCCTTCCTATACTCTTATCGAATGTGAGTGGAGCTGGCGCTGCTGGGGTTGCCAAGCGGCTTAGCAATTCTATGTAACGAGCCTGCCAAGATAAGTCTGTGCGCTTCAGGCTGTCAGGCACGCTTCATGTCTCTAGTGCATCGTAAACTATAATTTAATTAGGAGTTAATTACTCATGGCAATCCATAAGTATATAAACCCAGTGCTCCTGCTTTAAAACCAGCTCATTAATCCAATCTTGTGGTATTGCAGCCCATTCTTCTAGCATAGCCGCTTCGATTTCAGCCTCGTTCGCGCTTTCGCCTATATAATGCCTGCTTGATTCGCCGCCAACACTTCTCAATTGGGTTTATATGAGGGCTTGTAGACGGGTGTGGCATTCATATAATACCGTGCTTCGTGCTTGAAATCGAGTGGTAGAGTAGTGGGAGCCATAATTGATGAAATTAGTGAGTGTGGGCGGGGTGAAGTGTGCCCGACAGCCTGAAGCGCACAGACTTATCTTGACAGGCTCGTAAGGCACTTTTGACGCAGCCTAGTCTCCCATCGAAGAATCTCACGTATGACAACATGGCTGAGGGTCGAACTCTGAGCCTTTTTTCCACATCAAAAGTTCCTCCATGAGACATTCCTCCCACTCAGCACCTCAACCTATTACTGATCAGACTGATCAGTGGAATTACGAAAGGCGGGTGGCATTAAAATTCGTCCATCCGCCAAAACGAGAGGAACACCAAAATCGCTACGTTTAGAGAAATCGCACCAAATCTCGATACACTGTTTAAAACTCTTTAAAAAATAGCTTTGTGGGATAGAAAAGAAGCAGATCTAACTTTTTTAGGATTTTCTCGACGATTAAATATAATATGGAATTACGAGAATTTCTGTATAATAAGAGTCAAGATTGAGCCCGCCCTCGCTTAGCAAATTGGACGAATTTTAGGGCCCGTCCTGCCACCACCATACACCGTTCACATACACCATATGCCAGTCTTAAGCTTTGACCATTACTATTCCCACGGCCACGGCAGGCCCCACATATAAAGGCTCCATTTGAAATAATATGGGACTACCATATAAATCGCCTTTTTTGTATGATTTTAGAAGCTGGTCTGGACAGTATAGTTAATAGTCTAGACTGCAGTCTCAGACTATAGTCTATAAATTTTTTCTCAAACTATAGTCTGAATTGGATAGACTAAACTAAGGTTATTCAGGACTAGACTAGACTATACTAAAATCAACCAGACCGTAGTATAAACCGCAGTTAATCTAGTTCATACATAATCTACCCCCATTTTCTTTATTTCCTCCCTAAATACCTCCTTCAAATATCCTCCAAATACTTGAATTTGCCCTTCTTAGCCCTTTATCTTATATTACGACTTCAAATACTTAAATGCCTCAATTATATTCATGCCTAGCCTATTTCGAAGTTCCGTAATTTGTAGCTTAGTACTTGAGAAGAGTTATTTAAAGTTAGCTAATATTGCAGGAATAGAGAGTATATCTAATGCTAGCTTGCTTAAATTAGGACTTGAGAGGCATTATTATATTCGAATTCGATTGTAATATGGAGAAAAGAGAAGAGTTTTTCAAGAAGTAAGTGTGGGCGTAGCGATTTCGCTTGCTCTTTTCCGTGAAGTACTAGTGAATTATTACCAGAACTTTATTACCTAATATTTTATAGTAAAATTATAACCACCCAATATAAAATTAAATAGAGTAATTCACTTTAAAGCCCTAAGTCTAGGCTATCTTTTGAATTAAAAATTATTTTATTTGGTTAATAATTGAGTGTTTTAATAAATATAACACTAAGGGTAATTCTCTTACAAATTAAGCGAGCCTGCCCCCTTAAGACTGAGATCAAACTACGGTCCGGACCACAGTCCGGGCTCCAAACCACAGTCCGAATCAAGTAAAATAGACTGGACTATAATCCCCTAAGACTGTACTAGTCCAGTCAAACTGCGGTCCGACTAGACTAAGGTTGGACTATTGCCTATACTGGGTCCGGATTAGCTTTTGACCAGGGTATAGGCCCATATGCCCTCCTATATGCCTGGCACGCCCAGCATGTAGCTCATATGCCCTATAACTCTAGGGCATTGAAGGCCTAGAAATAACTATATGAATATCGATTTCTTTCTTACTAATTAATTGCTCTATAGTCTCTTATAAGCTAACTCTTAAACAAAATTCAAAGAATTAATAAATGCGCAATACTTTTAAGCCTAATATAGTTTTTAAAGCCCGAAGGCCCTGAAAACAACTTGAAATGGAAACTGGGCAGAAGACTCTGCGTAGTAAAAAAAAGCGGCCGCATGCCCCACAAATCTCTGATAAAAACACCTGAATGGTGTATGGCGGTGGCAGGACGGGCCCTTAATGCCGCTTGTCTTCGTACGCTGCTTGCCAGGACTTTTGTAGGTGTGGCATCCATCTCAGCTTACTCATGCAGCCTCTCCCCCGCGCCCCTTCTTTTTTTTTTTTTTTGGCGTTGCAGCATGGAACTTTCGTCGCTGCCCAATCGCTAAAGGGCCGCCATTATCCTGAGGCCGTCCGACCTGAACATCATAAGATCCCGGACTGGACCCCGATAAAGACGCTCTTGCTCGTGAACCAGCACGCTCAACACAACATCGACTCCAGCGCAATGGAAGGTAGCTTTTCAGGACTCGTTTGGGGCACAGCCTCGTTCGCAACCGCCGTTGCTCCACAAGATGAAAAGGGCTTGACAATTCTCCCAGAGCCGACAAGGCTGCCCGAGATGAATCAAAGACGAGAGAGATACCCAAAAGAGCAGTGGCTTGCGCTCAAGTCTATTATCGAACAGCTTTACGTCAAGGAGGGTCAAACTCTCACCAAAGTCGTAGAATATTTGGCTGAACATCACGACTTCTATCCAACGTAAGACATGCCTTGTTAGTCTTGACAAACAAAGCTAATATGTGATGCAGGACGAAGCCATTCAAGCGGTGGATCTCAGAGTGGGGATTCGAGAAGAACGTCAAACGGGATGAAAGACGAGCGATTCTAGAGAGGCTCGGTACTACGGCACGTGCGGTTGACTTTCAGGCAACGATGCTTCGCGGTCGAAGGCTGGATAAGGCTAAGATTGAGCGATGGAGGAAGAGGGACGGAATTGGTGGTGGCAGTTCCCGGAAGGGACCTGAATACTCCGGTACAGCAACACTCCAAGCATACGGCTAAGTTCGACCTGCTAACAGGAAGCGTTAGGGATGTCGGATGGGACGCCGAAGCTCAGTGCCGGCTCACTGCCCTCGGAGATGGAGCTTTGCAACCAGGACAATACTCCGAAGGATCTACCCCGCCCTGGAGAGCCGTTAGGATCAATGCCCACTGACCAAATATCGACTTTTAATCCTTGGCTTGCGGTCGACATTGTCGGGTCTCCTAGCCTAACCGGACTAATAGGAGCCTACACGCTAGACCTGTGTGAAGATATTCCAGCCCTCGATTTATTACAAACGTACTCAGAAGCAAGCGAAGACGACTACGACTTGATGGATCCATACCATGCTTGCAGTGCCATTGTATGCGGCAAAGTTCAGAACCAACAGCCACCATCCACACTGGGTTCTAATTCAGTCTCTTTCGGCATCGCTACCCTGTCTACCTATTTCTCCAACCAGAGCCAACTTCGGATGCCAGGACCACTAGATGAAGTCTCTCCCTTTCCCCAAGGGGCACCTAAAAGGAGACTTTTCAAACCTCCAGATACTAGTCACCTAGTCTCTAACTATTCTCTGAAAACGAAGGAACTCGAATGTAAGAGAAAGTTCAAAGCGTCGAAAAGTATGGAGCGATTAGAGATTATTGATCTAGTTGAAGATATGGAAATCTTAGCTTGGAGGCACTACGAGCTGAATCAGCATCGTCTAGCGGAAACCTGGTGGCGCCGGGTAATTACTTCCAGTTCGGAGATACCAGGATACCACCCCTTCAAAATATTATATGCGTGCTTGCAAGTGGTCGCCAGCCTTCGGCGGCAACACAGACTCCAAAAATCTCTAAGTCTCCATCAGGGTGTGCATAACAAGATAATGGAACTCGTTAGTCCAGACCATGAACTCGCCTTAAAATCGAGAGCTGCATTAGCAAAACTGCGACAATTGGCGGAGACCATGTGGCGGAACTCTCGATCTACCGGGAACTTCTTCAGATTTGTCTCCTTCAGTTTGGGCCAAGGAATAGAGATACCCTGTATTTCTTGCTAGGCCTAGGAATAGCACTGACATCATGCGGTCAAGATCGCGAGGCCGAGACGATTCTCTATATTCGGGTACAACTAGATAGCGAACTCTCCGGCTATCTAGATCGAACCACAATAGACGTTCAAAATTCTCTGGTGTCAATGACCGTATTAGCAAGCACTCTGACCCTACAGCGGAGATACGAAGACAGCAAAAGTGTACTGAACGCTGGAGAAAGATGTTTCAAGGATCTGCTACGAGTCGAAAATCCTTTAAGCTGGGAGTTCTTTTATGAGAAGGCTATGGTGTTAAGATATCAGGGGCGGCTCGTCGAAAGCGAACAAACCCTTCGAGCCATTGTACGCCATGCACCTGATTATCCAGATGTTCACATACACAACGCGATGGAGGAGCTTGCAGACCTCTTAGTGAAAAATGGTCAAGAACAGGAAGAGGTAAATTTGCGGAGAAGTCCCAGGTTATGGCAGTGAAACTGTGGGGGATTGAACACATATGGTCAAAGCATGACTGCGAGGATCTCGGGTTTTGCTATGCAGGACAGGGACGCTACGACGACGCAATTCTTCATTTTCAGGAAACAATTGAGAAGTTGACTCTGACCAACGGAGGAGATCTTGTTTCCCGTAACGAATACATCGGTCAGATTCAAGGTTGGATCTCAGAGGTTGAAGAGATGAAAGAGAAGGCGAAGACATTGCAGAGCCAATCGAGCCTTCAAGGTAGAGCCCCAAACCTACCAGTTATACTCCATCTCCATGAGCCATAAATCTTACAATAACTGACGTGCCTAACTAGGGCTTGAACTACAATGACAGGTTTGTGCCAGGCTACATCAGATCCTTCTACGCGAGGTGACAGTATGAGGCACGGACCAAATTCTCGGTCGCGTTTGGGTGCAACTTGGGTGACTTGCTTAATCTCATAGTCTTGATTTTGTCCTTGCCACCAAATGAAGAATATAAGCTCGATTGTGCTGTATCTTAATAACGAGCCTACGGACCAAAGTCCGTGTTTTTAGCGAGCGCGCCATTATTAGTTTAACGCCTCCCACTACCCTACCACTCAAATTTAATCACCTTCTAGGGCAGGAAATTGAGACCAGATACAAGGAGGCCATACGCCAGCTCTATGGCTTTGCTAAGGTACTAGTTAAGTTCTTATAACGCGATATGGGCTCGTGCGGTCGACAACTAAGAAGATATTGCAATGTAACGCTCCCGAACGTGCACGCATTACCCGTACCGGGAGACCCTCTCTTCTCACTAATCAATAAGTCAACGAGATTATCAAATCCTTAATTATACCCTGCTTTACGACGAACTTGGGCTTAAATGCTCTGCAAAAAAATCCTTGAGAAAAGGCTCAAATAGGGGGGGTATTTCCGGTATGTAGCTTGCCAGAAGCCTTACCTTATAGCGAACTAGGTTCTCGTACGATTCCTCTAGGCGATTGCACATATATTCTAGACAATAGAGTAACTAAAAGTCCTCTAGTCTAATAAAGTTATATTCTTAGTCGAGGATAAGATAATTAAGGAGAGGGAAATAAGAAATAAGAACGAATGTATGCACCCGATGTGACAGCAGGAACAAAGCAATGGAACGATGCTCAAAGATCTATGATTCCAATATCCTACAGAATCTAAAGCTAAGGAGAGAAGGAGTAAGGTGTGGCAGTGGATAAGTAGGTATGGCCAAGACTACTAAAACGCCGAGCTTTGGAAGCAAGCTTGGTTTGAACTATAGCTTGGAACCTTAGCTGAAACCAACCCCTTTGGCTAAAACCACGTTCGTATTAACCATGTGATACCAGCCGTCACATTACCCCCCCCCTCCAAAAAGCTCGACCCGAGCGCCAGTATAGTAAAACAAAGGGAAAGCTAAAGCGAGTATAATAAAAATGATAGAACAAAGGAAAAGGACCCTATTTAAGCCGCAAAATCAGCCCTCCACACACGGTTAAAAGCCGTATCCAAGGTTGGCCCTCCTCCAAATTCGCCAGAATTGCTAGAATCACTACCAGAATTATTATAATGGTCAATTGCGGTAGTCGTAACCCATTTGCAACCAGAACTAGTAGAAGCAGGACTTGCAGGAGCCAAGCTATAGTTCTTGATAAAGTAATCCTGGGATCCGCATCTGATACACCTGCCGGTTTAATAATAATGCTGGCGGAGCTCCTTTAAGGTAGAACAAGCTGGTATAGCTAGTGAGATTGGCTCAGAGGATTCCAGAGTACCAATTGCCGGTGTAACGACATCAATTATCAATTCGCTGATATCCATAGGGTCGCTAGCAATTCTGGGAGCAGTAACATACGGCGGAGCAGCTGTTTTTGACGAGAGCTACTGGGCCGTTCGCAGGAAATTACTATACGTTCGCGGGAGGGTAAGTTGCTGTGCCAAACGAGAGCAGATCGCAGAATTGAGGCCATTGCAAAAGCTGGAAATTTTATTAATATCTGGCTAGCTTTGGCCATTCGCTTCGTACAGGGTGCGTTCAAACTTGGCAATATAGGCCGGCAAAGAGTTATTGCCTTGGCGAAGCACATGGAGCTTGTCCTCAGCTTCCGATTGCTTATTTGGATTATCGTACACACGTAAAAGCTGATCCAGGATCGTTTGGTAGTTCCACGATTGAGTATGCTTCCTATAAGAGAGCTATGGCAAAACCATGGATTAGACAGACGAATCAAGGTTCAGGTAGACGTAGTAGAATTGAGCCGTAGCATCTCTAATTGCCGTACCATTAATAGCTAGCTTTGCTTTAATTAACGGAAGCCAGGTATCGAATTTGTAGGTGCTTCTAGCGAACTTCTCAGGGTCAGGGAGCTTCGACTTTTGACTGGATTTTGCCATGGATTGGGCGTTAACTGAGCTTGGGTACTAGCGAGGGCAGCTCGCAAGATAGTAATTTTAGCCCGTAAGCCATCGAACTCGCATTAAACTTGCGTTTGGAAGGTAGGGTCCATTCTCAAGGGAGTATTGGTAAAGTTGGTAAAGAGATAAAAAAAATTAATGAGGTAGTAAGCCAGGGGCTCCAATAAATAATAAGGGGTTGAGCTGGCCAAAATCAAGCTTTTTGACGCCTCGCGGGTAGAACTGTGGATAGTACCACGTAATAATAATAATAATAATAATAATAATAATAAGGGGGCTCCGTATAAAAGCGGGCTAGTAAACAGGAGTCCCAATAATAATGACTACTGTCCGAAAGGTAGGAGCTTTAGATTATATAATAGCAGGAACAAAGCAATGGAATAATGCTTAAAGATCTATGATTCCAATATCCTACAGAATCTAAAGTTAAGGAGAGAAGGAGTGAGGTGTGGCAGTGGATAAGTAGGTATGGCCAAGACTACTAAAACGCCGAGCTTTAGAAGCAAGCTTGGTTTGAACCATAGCTTGGAACCTTAGCTGAAACCAACCCCTTTGGCTGAAACCACGTTCGTATTAACCATGTAATACTAGCCGTCATACCCGATATATATTTAATACTAGTTTTATTACAAGTATATTATACTAGTTAATATATAGTAGTATATTAAATTATTAGCTATTAACCTAATTTATTTACAAAAAAAACTCATTAATTAGATTAATTCGTATATAACTCTTATATATAATAGTACTAGCTTAATATAATAATATTTCTATTTATTATAGCTCTAGTATTACTTTAATTAAAAATAAAAATACTTAATAAGCAAGCTAAACCTAAATAATAAAAGAAGAAATATAAAAATTCCGAGGAAAATAACTAGTTTATTATTATTAAAAGTTAGTATATAGCTATTATTATATAAGCCTTAGCTTAATATAATTAAGATTACTTAATAAATACTTTAGTTATTTAATAATTATTAAATAATTATTAAATTTTTATAATTAATTAATTAATATATTAATATATAAAATATAATTAAATATAATTAGAAAAGTTCTTTATTTTTTTATTTATAATTTTAATAAAAAAGAAGCCTTTTATTAAAAGAATTTTTTAGCTTTAATATATAAAAGAACTATTTATATTACTTATATTATTTATAAGTAATATAAGTAATTATTATATAATAATTATAAATTAAGGTTTATTTAATAATAGTTTAATAATAAAGATATTTATTAAATAATTCTAATAAAAGTAAATTAAGGCTTATATAATACTAGCTATATACTAGTTTTTTATATTAATAAACTAGTTACTTTTTTTAGAATTTTAAGTTTCCTTTATTTATTAAGTAATATTATTATTTAATTAAATATAGAAATAGAGCTAAAGTAATATTAAATGAAAGGCTTATCTAATTAGGCTAGCCTATTACATATATCTATTATATAAATATCTACTTATATTATTTATATTACTTATAAATAGCTTAAGTAAATATAAGTAATACTTTATTTATTTAGTATATTATTTAGTTCAAGTATTAATATTATATATTAAAAGTATTATAAAAGCTTTTATAATTATTATTTGCTTTTTTTTACTTCTTTATTAAGCCTTTATTTATAAAAAATAATAATTTAGTTTATAAATATAAATATATTTATAATTATTATATTTACTAATATATATAATATAATTTTATATTAACTTTTTATTTAATTATAAGTATTAATATAAATTTAATTAAGAAATACTAAAAAATAACTAAATAAATATTATAAAAATAATACTATTAGTTTATTATAAAAGCTAAAATAAAAATAATAGTCTTAAAAATAAAAGTATATATATAATAAATTATATTTTAAAAATAAACTCGAGTATTATAAAAAGAAAACTATAATAAAATATATTAGAATTATAAAAAAGCTAGCTTTTTTATATTATTTTTATAAGTTATATATAAAAAACTTTAGTTTTTATTATATAATTAAAACCTTAAAACTATTAAAATAATACGATTTTTATAAAATACGACTTACTATATTATAATATTTAAAAAACTTTAATTATATATTATTATAATAACTTAGCTTTTATATTTATATTTATAAAGGAAATTATTTTAAAAAAAGTTAATTTTTTTATATATAAAACGAATCTTATTTATTAAATAAATAAATACAATTTTATAATATCAAAATAAATTTCTTATTTAGTTTTTAATTCTCGAAATTATAATATAATTATATTAGTTATTAATAATAATAAATTTATTTTAAAAAAAAGTAAAGTTATTTCATTAATTATTATAATAATTTATATATAATAGTTTATATATAATAGTCTATATATAATAGTTTTTATATAATAGTTCATATATAATAGTTTTTATATAATCGTTTTTATTTAATTTTAATTTATTAAAGAATTATATTTTCTTTTAAATTATTTTAACTTTATTTCTTTTATAAAATATATTAAAATAACTTTTCTTTTTATATAAATAAATATTATATTACTTATTATTATAAATTTTTTTAGATATAATACTAAATCTCTCTTTATTTATTATAATTTAATTAAATATAAAGCGTTTTTATAGCTAATTTTTATATTTTAAGTCTTTATAACTTATATATTTTCTTTCTTTAATTTCTTTATTAGCTTATATAATTTTATATTTATTTAAAACAAATATTAAATTCTTTTTTTATAATTAATAATAAGCTTATAAACTATTTTATAAAGTTTTACTAATTCTTAAAACTAATTTATTTAAGCTTTAATATATTATAATATAAAGTAAATAAATAATAATTAATTAAAATTATATAAACTAGTATTTTAAGTAAGTAAATAATTAAACTCATTAATTACTTTCATATAATAATTATATTTCTTTATAATAGCTAATATATTAAGTTCCTTAATAATATTTTTTTAAAAAATACTTATATAATTTTTATTTTAAAAGAAATTCCTTTAAGTCTTTATTTTTAGTTATATAACTTATTAATTATTTAGTTAAATAAAACTTATTATAAGAATAAAAGATTAATCTTTTTATATTATATAAAAAACTTTATAATTAAATATAAATATAAAATATATTTTTCTTATTTAATTATATTATTTTTAGTTATATTTTTAAGATTTAAAAGCTTTTATATTATTTCCTTAGTATTTTTATAAATACTAGTAATTTTAATAGCTTAAAAAATATATATATTTAATAAATTAAATAAAAATAAAGAAATTATTAAAGTAAATATAATAATTTAGGGCTTAAAAAAATTAAGAAAAGTATTTAATTAAATACAAAATTATTAATTATTTCTTATTACAAGCTTATTTATATTTTAGTAACTATATATCTTATTTAATATAATATATATTCTATAAATATATATTATAAAATAAATATAAAGCTTGCTTTAATAAATAAAGTCTTATTAATTTATTTGTTTTCTTTATTATTATATCTATTATTTTAGAAATATAATTTAAATAAAAAAAAGTAATTAGATTATTAAAAAAAATTAATAAATTAATTTCTTAGCTAAAATCGAGTAATTTTATTAAAATAAAAGTATTTTATTTTATTAATAAAGGCTTAAAAAGAGAATAAAAGAAGTTTTAATAATATTATTAAAAGTATTATCTTTTAATATTATAATTATAATATAATTAAATACTAAATTAAGTATTAAATATTTTTTAAAATAATATTTATTTTATTATTAATATAACTATTTCTTTAAAAGTTATATATATAATTATAGAACTCAAAATATAAAATATAAGTAATAAGATATAAATAATAAAATATAAAATATAAAATATAGTTATATAATTTAACTAGTAACTAGTCTCTATTAGGCTTAGCAGATTTAGAAATTATATATTAATACTATAATATTATAATTCTTATTTCTAAATCTTAAATATTTTATTAATTTTATATATTAAGTATTCTATATATATTATATATTATATTATATATTTCTAGTAAACTAATACTTATTTTAATTTAATATAAGTATTATAATAGTTAAATAAATAAAAGTTTAATAATTTCCTTTAATATTTTTATATAAGCCAGGAAATTTTATTAATTTTAATAAACTTTAATATATAAAAGAAAACTTATATTATTAATTTATATATTATTTCTAGTTATAATAAAAGCTAAAATAAAAATAGCTTTAGTTTTAATAATAAAATTTATTTTTAAATTTAGAGAAAATATTTAAATTAAGAAAATATTCTTGATTTCAAATAAAATAATAAATAGAAATCAGAAAAAATTAAAAAGAAATTAGAAATAAGAAATTATATAAATAATTTAAGGAAGTTTTTTTTTATAAAAGAAAAAGAGAAATAATTAAATAAAAATAAAAAAGAGAATTTAAAAAATCTAAAGAAATTAATAAAAATATTATTATTATTATTATTATTATTATTATTATTATTATTATTATTATTATTATTATTATTATTATTATTATTATTATTATTATTATTATTATTATTATTATTATTATTATATTATTATTATTATTATTATTATTATTATTATTATTATTATTATTATTATTATTATTATTATTATTATTATTATTATTATTATTATTATTATTATTATTATTATTATTATTAAATTATTTTTCTTTTTAATTAAAATTAAAATTATTTTAAATATTATTATAAAATAAATATAACTAATATAAGATTCTTATTATATAATAAATTCAATTTTTTTTTAAAAAATATATAAATTATTTAAAACTTCTAATTTTAAAAAGTAATAATAATAATAATAATTTATTAAAAGAATATTAAAAAAATGAAATATTTCTTTAAT